CGCCATTTTGTAAAAAGAGCTGCGAATGGTTTTTATACTACTACTTACTATATCGNAAGAGTATACAGGTTTTGAAATTATTTTGTCTTGCCACATTATTTTTCTTGTCTGAGAAAATTATTATTTTGAAATAAGAATTTGTGTCATATTTTGCAGAAAGTAGGTCATGAAGGCAACAAAATAAAAAAATATTGTAAACTACAGTTTTATTATAACATACAGTTTCGGGAGGAAAGGGAAATATTTTAAGGATGTGTTCTGGAAATGAAAATAAGTATTCGTATAGAAAAAAAATTGTTTTAGTTTTGTTACATCATTAACATTAACGATTAAAAATTTGAAATTGTTATAACTTTCTTATTAAAAATTAAAAATTATATCTATTTCTCTGAAAAGAAGTTACATTTTTTAGAGTAAATTGAAAAAAAATTACAAAATTCATTCATTTTTTTGCTTGTTATGATTTTTTTAATTTCTGAAATCTTAACTTCCAGCTTCCCTAACTGTTAATTTTAATAGTACAAGAAAAAGTCAAGAGGCCATTTTTATGTAGAATTCTATGCTTTACAACTTTTGAAAGAAACTTCAACTGATACAGTGTTCATTAATGGTGTATAGAACAAAATTTACTTAATTTTAGCCACAGAATGGGCTTACACACACGTAGACTCTTAAGGTAGCCGTTTCCGAGCTGCAGGGTTTTCAAAATTAAAAAAAAATTAAAATTTTTAATTTTCTTAAATCCATTCTGTCTAACTATTCGTAAGTAGGTAGTAGACGTTTTGCAAGATCTATTAACTAGCATGAATCGATTTTTTTATTGTAATGTAAATGCAACTCTTAATAGAGACAAGATAATAAAAAATTCATAGGGGGTCTGCTATAAGAGTTTGCCGATTAGTCCCATTTTAAAAATGCCAATTTACCAGGAAAGCATTTTTGTACAAAACTCGTAAAATGTCAGATATGACGGTAAAATATTGCCACACGAGTTTAATGGGAACGCCCCTATAGACAAGCCGTTAAGCCGTCATATTTCAAACAAAATACGATTCAGATTGGAAATCTTTATCTTGCGTCGAGTGTACATCTCTCTGAAAGTTTGCATTTTTTGATTTTGCATGTGTTACTTTGTAGTGGCAGACGAAGAATAATCCAACTTACCTCTATTAAAAAGCCACTGCTTACTGAGATGTACTAGTCTGATTGTAGTAATACCACAAAACTAAATTGACAGAGTTGAGTATATCTCAAGATGTTGACTTTTGAATAGAGGTAAGTTATTCTAAATCATAAAAAATATTTAATTTAATTACATATTTAACAAAAAAGTAAAGTTTAATTAGTTTAGAATATCCTGAAATACTTGACAGTCTGTAACTGATAATTGCAGTAGAAAATTGAAATACATTTTTCTCATCGCAACGAGAATGCCTTACTTACAGTAAATAATGTTATGTTTTAAAAAAACACCAGTGTTTTTTTTTAATATATCAACAAAAATATACGAGTATAGCATTAAAAAAAATACACTATTACTTTTACACATTATAATGATTACACGAACATTATAATGATTAGAAAAGTATATAACAAACTTCTGCATAAAGAAGTATTTCAACCAGGACATCCAAAACCTTCATCTTGAACTGAGTTGCCAATTTTTAGGTTTTAGTATAATATCTTTACTAAAGTAAAAAAAAATGTGTTTGTATTTTTCAAAATCTGCCCTTACCAGTATCATATTTTCTTAGGAGAGGGGTATTTAGAGCTAAAATTTCGCCAAATGATATTTAGATCAAGAGAATGCAAATATCAAAATCTTATTTTTGTCTTCTGAGTTTTTCAAATGATCTAATTTCTTTATTTTTATGAGGATGTCACTATAGATTTGTGTATAATATACGAGCATATCAAATTTTCAATTATAATACTGCAAATTTCCATATAGTAAATTTCAATTATTTAAGTTAGGCACATAATTGTTTTTATGAAAATAATGAAAAATTTACTCATTTTTATAATATTATTTAACATCAAAAATAGGATTTTATAAAAAATGTGTCCCAATCCAAATGAATATTAAATGATAAAGTATTACTGCGGCTGTTTTATTAAAATTTAATTCATTGTAGGTAAGTCTAGTTTTGCGATAACATGAATGAATTGTTTAACAAATGCCTTAGAATTTGACATTCATATTTGTGTGAAAATAATATAAATTACTTTCTTAGAAGGTATTATGACACTAATTCGGATTTGATAGAGATTAATACAATTATTACGTCATGTATCTCAAAATACAAAAAAAAAAAAATATGTTTAAAATTTATATCGATGTGTGGATTTATATTCCTCATGTACTAAATATCCAGTTAGATTAAATTGTAAGGAGTAGATTTAAAATATTTTGAAATTGAAGATAAGACTGCTCAGATGATGACTGATGATGACAATTATTTTTTATCATTTAACTTATACAGTGTGACTCAATTCTCAATTCAATCTAAGTCGAGTTTTGAAAAATGAAGTTTGACTTTTAAACCCTATCAAATCTATTAAATCACATTTGATTTGAATTTATTTTCGGTTATCAAAGCTTTCTTTTCTTTTTTTCATTTTTAAATTTAACAAAAATTGGTTATCAACTTTTTAAATTTAAAATCTGTATTCACCAAACTTTGAGAAAAAATATTTATTACTCACTATAAAATTAATCGGTTTTATCATTTCCATTCTTCCTAAACAGGGTAAGCAAAAATAAATGAAATAAAATCTTCGTATAGTTCCAAATTAAATAATAATTTTTAATTTTAATGGATGAACGAATTATAATTACGAATAACAAAAAACCATAAAAATAGTAACATAAGTCATGAACACATACACAAAAATTGAACCATAATCTTAAATTTAATTTTTTGATTTGGAACTGCACATTTCAGAAAAACATTAGTAAACATTTTGTGTTTATTTAATTCAATTATGAGGTTGTTTATCCCATTTAGGAAGAACATAATTTAATATTACAATGAGCAATTAATATTTTTCCACGAAATCTGGTACAAACTACATTGAGGAGGTGCAGAATCCAGTGGCGGGGTGAAATTATAAATAAATTCACTAACCAATTTTTTTGACACCGAAAAAATAAATTGTAGGCTTTGGCAATGGAAAGTAATTTCATGTGTTACATGATGTAATAGAATTTTTTAACCTCTACCTTTAAAGGAAAAAACTTGATTAAATCGTGGGTGTTTCCATTTTTGAAATGGGCACCCAATATTAATATGTTTTTCTTTTATGTTTTACTAATAATGAATTACTACTAAATTATTATTACTATTATTATTACTTATTGAAACTGTGTCAGTGGAATATATTTGAAATAATTTAATACATTAAAAAATATTTCTACAATTATAATTACATTATTACATATTGGAGAAATTATAAACATGTGATATTTATTAAATTGGGTTTAAGATAAAGAAGTCTCGCAAAAAAGAGAGAGAAATATTTGCTTTCAAAATTCAAAAATATTATTCACTGATAAGGGATACAAAAATAAAATAAATAGGTGCTTCCATATATTGAAACGTAGTAAAATAAAATTTGTTTTTCTTTTAACCATATGGGCAATGTCAACAATTAGATGAATCCTCTTGTCCTTGTATCTAATGTTTATGAATCTACAGACATTAAGTGGAGGTAGAAAGTGCTACCATTTGACTTAAAAAATGGTCAGTAACTTTGGAGGCTGATGTAGGTTAGACACAGGCATTTTCTGATATCCTTAACATTTTACATGCTCTGCTGTCAGGTTGGGAAGATATACAATACTCTGTGTTTTTGCACTCATTAAATTTAACTTCGTGTTTACAAAATAACTTTTACTATCTTTAAAGTGCCACCAGTATTGAAAGACAAAGTAAATATTTTGCCAAAAAATAAAATATTGAAATAAATGTTTGCGAATTATATATAATCTCTCATAAATTGTTTCTATCCCAATAATTTAGTCATTTCAATTTTAATTCCTCATACTATGCCTTGATAGTTATCTAAAGGATACTTACAATTACCATTTTTGCACTTGCAAAAGGAAGATTGATAATCGTGTTTTATACACATATTTCAAGATAATTTACTTATTTATAAAGTCTTTATCAAACATTTGTCATAAATCACATGAATTTTATATTTTTTAAATTTTTATGTTATTTATTCATGGAGAGTGTCATAAGATAATAAATAGGACTTGCAGAGTATCTAATGAGAGATGCACTCGTTGACTACCAATCTGTAACCTTTATGAAAGTTCACCTAAAAATTGACGTAGAATCCAAAATTACGATAATATACAGGGTGTTCTCGTCACCGTGGGACACCCTGTAGATGGGTTAACCTTCAATAATACAGTTTTCAAAATTCAGTACAAAGAATTTAGGGCCCTATTTTTGAGGTCAAAATAAGACTTTTTTCCTATAAACGTGGGTCTACAACTGCTTAGTTTTCAATATACAGAATGTCAATTTTTTATATTTTTTTTCGACGAACAGATTTGAATGTTGGCATAAAACTTGGAGTCCGGGGTTTTTTTGGGATGCTAAATTTAAACATGTAATTGCTTTTGATGCTGCTTGTACAGGGCGCCACCTAAAGGGTGTGCTTGAATTAAATTGACTCTAACTTTTAATAAAGGCACTAACATGAAACGTCAATGTACAGAGTAGTAAAAAGTTAGGTCCAATTTAATTCCAGCGTACCCTTGTAGGTTGCGCCCTCTACAAGCAGCACCATTAGCAATGACATATTTCCGGAATTTTGAAATCATGAGATTATGATTAGACTCTCGATTTTTAAGGAAGTAAAATTGTACTAAAGTAATTATCTAAATCAGTTTATTTTCATCAAAAAAAGCTCCCTTGAGGTATAGTCCATTCATTTCTAGACACCTATTGTTATTAAAATAAAAACATTACTTTATTATATCTTAGGGGTTTGATCGTGCTGAGGGAGGAGGTATTGACCTTATTTCGCATATTATTACTCGGCATTTGAAAATACCCTGTGCTGTTTTGATGGGTGCTAACTTGGCTGGAGAAGTGGCTGACGAAAAGTTTTGCGAAACTACCATAGGGTGCAAAGACAGCAAACTTGGGCCTCTTCTTAGGGACATCATTCAAACTAATTATTTTAGAGTAGTTGTTGTAGATGATGAAGATACAGTGGAAGTTTGTGGAGCTCTTAAAGTAAGAATATGTTGTATTCTAAACTAGATTAAAATTATACTGAATGTTCTAATATATTTCCAGAATATAGTAGCTTGCGGTGCTGGTTTTGTGGATGGCTTAGGTCTGGGAGATAATACAAAAGCAGCAGTTATTCGATTGGGTCTTATGGAAATGGTGAAATTTGTTGATGTATTTTATCCTGGAGGTAAACTGTCTACATTTTTTGAAAGTTGTGGTGTTGCTGATCTTATTACAACATGCTACGGTGGTCGTAACCGTAAAGTTAGTGAGGCTTTTGTCAAAACGGGCAAATCAATAAAAGAACTGGAAGATGAAATGTTAAATGGTCAAAAATTGCAAGGTCCGTTTACAGCCGAAGAAGTAAATTATATGTTAAAAAACAAAGGCATGGAGGAAAGGTAAGATATTTATTAAAATTGCTTTTTTATTGCCTATTAATATTACTTTAGAAAACAAAAAAATACATTTAACAACTAAATTATTTATCTATTATGTTTTTTTTTAATAACGTATATACTTACAACTTGTTATATGACCTAAATAGTAACATGCTATAAAATATTTACCGTCACATTGACCAAACTTGAATTTGGGTTTCTATAAGAATGATATTTTCAAATTTAGTTGCATTGTCTTTAAAATCGTATTTCTAGAGAAAATCATATATGAACTTTTTTTTAATGAAATGAGTAGTTCTAGAGTTTTAAGGCTGTTAAAGTGATTTGTAACGGTAATGTAAGTTTAAAACAAAACTGATCAAGCACTGATCAAATGTCAAAGATATTCAGTGGTTCATATACTTAGATCCAAATACAGTAACTTTATCTTTAATTAGATAAATCATAAGGATAGTTGCGGGGTCCTTTATAATAGTAGTAATTTGAAACTGACAAGATCTCAACCCTTGTAGATACAAAAACTAACATACCAATAAGACGTGCATTTTTTCATTAATGTTTAGATAGATTTTTTATTTATAATTAGATTAGTCAGAGTTGATTTTATAAATTTATTTTTGAAATTCCTGATTATATAAAAAAAGTATGTAGTAACAAAAACCACCAAGAAATGGTATATTAATATTATGTATTAGTAGCTGGTCTGTGGAAATATTTCATAAACATACTGGGTTTGTGTACTGGGTAAAGAGCATACAGGTATAATTAAATTATTATTTTAAGGAATTTTTATGCTTTTATATTATTTTAATTGTAATATCTTTTCTTAAGAAATATTAAATATTAGGTGCAGACAAAATTAATTTTTGTTTTTCAGTATGCCCCGGATTTTTTAATGTTTAATTAAAAAACTATGTGCTTAGTTTTTTCAAATATATATATAACGTGGAAATCTTCTTAAACCTTTTGTCTAATATTAAAATATATTTATTTTCTTGGGAATTGGGTTCTGGTGTGATAGTCGGTTAAAAAAAAAGATAATAGAAAACAGCAGCTATTTCTTTCTTGACGTTTCGTTCCTGATCAGGAACTTTTTCAAAAGGCTTTTATTGTTAAAATTGTAATTGTTAATTAAATAAAAGTTTGTTTGTATTTTAGGTTTTATTTAATTAACAATTACAATTTTAACAATAAAAGCCTTTTGAAAAAGTTCCTGATCAGGAACGAAACGTCAAGAAAGAAATAGCTGCTGTTCCTTTTATCCTTTTTTTTTAACCGACTATCACACCAGAACCCAATTCCCAAGAAAATAAATATATTTTAATATATATAGATTTAATGTTTCATATATAGATTTAATGTTTTTGGTGTAGGAATTTAAATTAATTGAAACTAGTTATTAATATTGATTGTTCCAGACCGGAGAGTGAAAAATTACATGTATAGCACTAAAGTAATTTATCAAAATATGTTCTCTATTTATAGATGTATTGACGTGTTCCTATCAGTGTTGTAAACATTGTAGTTTTTAATTAGAATGTCCTACTACTTTGAACCACAGAAAAACTAAGTGACAAACTTGTAAATTTAGATAAGACACTTGTTTGTTACACTTGCTTTAAAAATAACCAAATAATACACAACTATATATATTTTTTAAATTGGATACTTAAATATGTTTACTTTAAATAAGTAAGTTACACATAGATAAATGTTAATTTTTTAATTGAAAAAATATAAAACGACATAAAAATATACATTTTATTTCTGCAGTTTAATATGTTTAATTTCAAATAGGAGTAGGTATTACCACAGACAAAATAGCTATCGCCACAGACCGCTACTGGAATAGGCCAACAGTTTTAAATTTCCGAATTGACGGTAGAGTACACCACCAGCAGAATTTTAGGAAGAATCAAATGCAGCGGCCCCCATACCTACCCATATCCTAGCAACATATAAACAAGACTTTGGTAATGTTGCCAGGCGTACTTACGGATTTCTTTTGTACACTTTTTTATCAATATCAGTTTTTTGTGTTACTGTATTTACTTAAATGTATGTAAGCATTGATAAAAATGTTTTTAAAGAATCAACGAATATCTATGTAGTTTCATGGGATATTCTGCAGCGGTGTTACAATTAAGTTATTTAATCATAATTTTGTTAATTAGCTACCTACTATTTTTATTTTTTGGTATTGAAATACTGCAGAAAATATATTTCCATATAAACAAAATTCGTAATGATATTTTAAACAGCTTGTAATATAATTTTTTTAATATTTGATGATGATAAATTTATTTAATATACAAGGTGGGTTATTAGTACGTCGCGGAATGTAGGTACCGTTTTTTTTTGTATTTTGACATCCACTTATAGGTTTAATAATTAAAGATAGAAAGAAACTTTAAATACAAATGTACGACTTTTCCTTTATTTCATTTGACATCAAAATTTACTGGCATAAAATATATATGTTTAAAATAAAAAAAATCATTAAAAAAAAATTAAAATTCATCCTTATGAAAATAACAAACAACGCTTTTTATAACTAACCTTTACAACAACATAAGGAGAATAACTAAAAACGAAATAACATTAATATACCTACAATTTTTACAAATCAACATGCAAGTGATTGTGATGATACAGTTGAAAATATGTTTCAATTTACTATTAATTGCTTCAAAAACAAATTCAAAATTATCAAGCATTTCGTCCTGTATTTTTTTTTCAATACTTGCAAATTTTCAGGTAAAACAAATATGTCTAAAGGACTGACAATGAGATCGGGGCTGTTCTCTGACCACCTAAGGTTTCTAATAATATTTTTTAGTATTCGTTGAAGGGATTCTTCCTCCAAAATAAATTTGCCAATATTCCTAAAGAACTTTTGCACATTATTGTTATTTGAATAATACAGTTAATTATGTTTTATTTTTCGTCATCAGAATAACCCCTTGTAATTTTTTTAATGTTTTAAATTAAAATGGGTTATTCTAATAATGATAAATCCCATGTATTTTTAAAAGAAGGTTCGTTTCTGTCGTTTTTGTCTGATTGTGTGCGAGAGAGATAGAGTTATAGTGTGCGATAGAGATAGAGTGACTCTGTCCTCATAGAGAGCTTATCTCTCTCTCTCTCTCTCTCTCTCTGTCTCTCTCTCTCTCTGCTGTCTTCAGGAGTCTCCCCAGCAATTTCAGGACACCTAGGGAGGGAACGTGGGGTAGAGCGCGTGGCCTTGTTAAGCCTTCGTTATCGATCTATGATGTCACACAGTATAAGAAAAAAAAATGGTTTTTGCTCGTAACTCGGAAATGGCTGGAAATATAAACAAATTTCCCCTTGGTTCTGAGTAGAGCACTCGGTGGGTGACGCAGAGCGGGGTGTCACAATATATGAAAGAAAAAAAAAAAGTATTTGCTTAGACTCTTAAGTATCAAAAAATCTCCCATGGTGAACAAATAAATCTCCCATGGTGAACGAGTGAAAAACGTCAAAACCCGCATGTCAAAAAAAAAATCGGGACCAACGGTGTGTGACGTCATAGGATAAAAAAGTGTTTATAACTCGGAAACGGTGCGTTGAATCGAAAAAATAATTGAAAAATGTCAACCCCTCCCTCCCGGGTTCTGTATGTTCCTTCTGCGTTGAATGCAAAAGGTCCGAAGTCCGTATGTCGAAAATAAATTCTGGAAACAAGAGGTATGTCGTGTTATAGTAAAAAGGCCGTATAACTCGGAAACGGTGCGTTAAATCGAAAAAATAATTGAAAAAATCTCCCCACACCCCTGGTTCTGTATGACAGTTCTGCGTTGAATGGAAAAGGTCCGAAGTCCGTATGTGGAAAATAAATTTCGGAAAGAAGAGGTGTGTGAGGTGATACAGTAAAAAAGGTCTTATAATTCGGAAACGGTGCGTTGAATTGAAAAAATAATTAAAAAAATCTCCCCACTACTCTGGTTCTGATTGTCCGTTCTGCGTTGAATGGAAACGGTCCGAAGTCAGTATGTCGAAAAACAAAAAAGTTAGTTAGTTAAAAATTGCAACAGCAGTAGCGAACGCATTATCTTATCTCTGTATTGATTGATGATTTGTTGTTTTTTTTTAAATAAATTTCGTATTCAACTACTCCTTGAGGTTCCAGCAATTTTACATTGTGTTAATTTTTTTGAACACCTTGTGTCACAAATATGGGCACTACCAATGACATCCATAATATGCAACACTTGTGTCAATAAATAATTATTTACCTATCTAAAGAAATCAACAATAAGAGGCAGTACCCATCTAAGGATACACAACCTGTATAATGCAATTTTTTTAAACATAGGTGTTAATATCGTACCATATTGGAAGTCGACGCACAAATCTAAAAACATTAATTTCGAGTTTTTGAATTTTCCCATTCCAAGGTGATATAAAATAAATAATTAATTATATAAATTCATAGTTTTTATTCTAACTTGATTTATTTTATTTAGCATTTAAGGCAAATGTGATTTCCAAACATAAGATGAGTTCCATATCTCTTTAATTACGTAATTGAAAGCATTAAATTTATTTAGCAGTTATTATTTGGCAACAAAGCCACCGCTGGAACTGCCGCCTATTACCACGCTAAATTTCAATGATGGAAGCCGGCTAACAAAAGCCTGCTTCCATTTCGGGTTGCCAATTTTCAGCATTTAAGTAGCAGTCTGTGGCGATACGGTACGCTATATTGTCTGTGGTATTACAAAAAATATACATATAGATGAATCATTTATATGATTGCAGGTAATAGTATAGTGAAAGAATGTCGAAAGTAAGGAAGTATTTGTTGCAATTACGCAACCAACCCCACCCTCTGTCTTTGAGGTGCTGAATCCAAATTAGGAGTGCATTGAATTTCTAACTCTGCGCTTCCCCAAGAATTGGCCAAAAACCAACACCCCTTTTATAATTTAGACCCCATCGATATCCATCCCCCTCCTTTTCGAGGGTGCTGATCGTGA